GCCGTTTATTTGAATTGTGTATAGCTATTGGGTGAATATTAAATCGGAAAGTAAACCTTCGAGATTTTACAGCGCAATTGCAGACCGACACAACAGAAAAAGATATAGAAAAACAGACAAAATTCAAAATTTATTGACTATTGTTGCATTGCACGTTTACGGGTGATATTTTCTCTCAATCATTTGAATGGCTTTCGATATATCCATGATTGGTTGTCCAAGTCCATATATTGTAATAAGAAATCCTTAAAAGGACCAAAACCTCATTAAAACATTGATGTCTTTTGGTTTTGTAGTCGTTGTTCTACAGTTTTATGTCTCATAAAAAATAAACAACAAAAGAACCGAACTCCAAGGAAACTTCAAAATGGAAATTCCATTATCAAATGGCAAAATCAAAAGCTCAAACATTTCAAACGAATTGAAAACAACTGTCATGTTCATGACTTGGTTCAGGCATTTTCGTTTATAGCAATTTGTTAATTAAACCTGTTTTATAGCTAGCCAAACATCTCACCTGTATGACAGTCGCATAAGGTTCTTTTATATTCACAACAATGTGTGAGCAAAACAAACAGACATAATAGGAAAAAATGTCCATAATAGTGGTACAGGAGTGAACATTATTAATCTTAATCACTATAAAAACAAACAAATATGTCAGCAAAGAAAATATAATAGCATGTAGACAAAGCACATACACAAAACTGAAAGACAAGAATACAAAAAATGACCATAGCACAAAAACAAAATGGTGGGATGTATAAGTACCGAGTCACGTCAAAAGGATATTACAACAAATGACTAAACAGTAAAGGTTAATAATTTACAAAGACAAATGAAAGAACACTATAACACGTAATTAAGATGATATACAACGTCAGTACCTAGAATCTATATACGTCAAGACCATCATGTATTATTTGTGAAGTTGAAACGGAATAATTATCAACAAGGTCTTTTGGTATCTTCCGATGATTTTTTTTAGAAAAAAGACGAAATTATTTTTGACATTAACCTGGGTCATCAACTTTCTGCTCAGACACTGGTAGCGTTTTATAAAGTTTGAGTACCGCTGCAAACTCTTGAATACCGAATGAGTTCGGAAATGTGTATCCCATATGCAGGTGAATAGATATAAGAAGATGAGGCATGAGTGCCAATGAGACATCTCTCCATCCATTCACACAGTAAAGTTGGTATATTGCTACTAAGAAGGGTGCTACTAAGAAGGGGTAAATTGATAATTTCAAAATTAACATTGTCTCGTTTGTCACAAATTCTCGTACTGAGCTGACCGCGTATGTCAAACTCGAGGTATAAGTCTAAAAATGAGGCGGGGGAAGCTGTGTCTGTTGTTTCTTTAATTTCTAGTTCCGAAGGATATATTAATGGAACCAAATCAGAAAAGATTGGATTGTTAATGGAAAGAACATCATCAATCTAATAAATGATCTGGCTTCTGTGATCGTCTTGTTTTTGACAAGTGTCTGAAGGAACTCCGACTCATATGAAAACAAGAAGAGGTCGGCAAATAGAGGCGCACAGTTTGCTCCCATAGGAATGCCGACAATTTGTTGAAAAAGTCTACCTCCAAATTCAACACATATGTTGTCAGTAAGACACTCCAGCATTCTGATCACTTGTTCTTCTGTGTAGCATGTTTTACCTGTTTGTTCACTATTAACAAAATATGCTGTATGGTATCCCAAAGTAATAAATTGATAGCGTATGCTACCATTTTTTTTATTTAAAAGCATTTTGGATTATTTCTTTTAAGCAGTTTCCATTTCACATGGGCATTGGTGGTACACATGTTTGAAAATCAAAATTTGTAATAGAATTAATTTCAGAGGAAGATCGGGATTTAAATTAGTCCCGCAGTTCTTTAGAGTTTTTTTTAGAATCAACATATGGTTAACACCATTACGGGAGTTAACCGTTTCACAGTATTTCTGAAGACCCGCTTTCACTGCGGTAAGATTTTTTGTCAATATAATGGACAATGCGTTTGTAGAACATGCAGATGAGCCGACAATGTACCGTTATTTGAACTGATTTTGGTGAAGCTCAGGTATTCAATACAAACAAAGTAAGTCCTCAGATTTGCTGTTCAATGTAATGTTCATTGAAGCCATTGAAGTTTTTCTATGTTGTGATGTTACACCAGTATTTCAGGTTAGTTTGAAGGTTGGCACCTGTTAAAACGTTTACACCCGCTGCATTTGTTTCCACCTATCCTAAGTCAGGAACCTGTTGTTCAGTGGTTGTCGTTTGTTGATTTGATACATAAATGTTTCTCGTTTCTCGTTTTTTATATAGATTAGATCGTTGGTTTTCCTGTTTGAATGGTTTTACACTAGTCATTTTAGGCCCTTTATATCTTGCTGTTCGGTGTGAGCCAAGGCTTTGTGTTGAAGGCCGTAATTTGACATGTAATGGTTTACCTTTTATAAATTGTGACTTGGATCGAGAGTTGTCTCATTGGCACTCATACCACATCTTCTTATATTTATGAAGGACTTATGATTCGCCAAAATTTATCTTTGTCAAATGATATGTTTTTGTATGTGGGATAACCTGAGTGCTCATTTATTCCTAATTCTTTTTCAAGACACTCGTAGTTGTACGATTTACATACAAAAGACAATATCATTTAAAAGCTTTGACTGCAGGAACAAAACATATTTATCATTTTACTGTACTCAGGAGTTATGCAATAAAAAGGGGAAAACATTGTAAGGAAAAGGTAGATAAACACATCATACATACCAGGCTTCATATAGAGTACCCACAATTTGTCGCCTTGGTATTATGAGCCTCTTTTGGTGCAGTTATAGTATCGAATCGAGTGGTTTGAAATTTACTTTTCATCTTTGGTTGAAATTCAAGAGGAAATAAAACAGACCTTTATGACCTATACATCATACAATTATTTTAAGATTGTTTGAATGTTTCCTCTTTAGTTAGTGTCATGTAATTATATGCTGTATATTAAAGGGATTTGTCAATACTCATTTCCTTTGTCAAGCAGTTCATGCATTTGATTTTCATGCAAAAAAAGAAACTGGTTTTGGTTTTCTCTGCGGGGAGAACATCATGTTTATCGTCGGGGTGAGAAGAATTTGACTTTGTAAAGTTCTTTAGAAAATTTTAAGAGTCAACCAATGGTTAATTCCACTCTATAGTAAACAGTTTCACACTATTTCTGAAGACCGTCTTTCACTGCGGACAGATTTTTAGTCAATCTAATGGACTATTCCATTGTAGAACATGCAGATGATCTGACAATGCACCGTTGTTTGTATAGTTTTTTGTAAAGCGTAAGTATCCAATGCAAAACATGATTGGTATCAACGACGGAACATCCAGAACTCATTGAGAAAATAATATACAGCCAAGTAGTCAGCTTTTCTGTATTGATATGAATTATTATTGATACCTGTATGATCATATTTATAAACTAATTGCTATATTTATAAACTAATTGTTTGCAAACTTTTCATTATTCACAATTATACTAAATATTTTCACCCCAGGTATAGATAATCCTAGCAGTATTTGGCAAAACCTTGCGAGATTTTGGGTCCTCAATGCTCTTCAATTTTAACTTTATTTAACGTTTTTAACTTTATAGATTCGTCATCCTTATTATTGTAGAATACAACAACAAACGTAAACTGATTATGGCAGACGACACAAAGAGACAACATTTAGATTACCAGCAATGGCTTCAAACTAGGTTTTGAACATAGTGACTCATTAGATCGATACTAGGCACAACAAGACGTACTAAAAAGACAAAAAAAACACAACGTGCCTAATTAATAGTATTTGCAAATGAATTAACCTTAAAAATTGAATTCAATTATTGTATAAACCATGTATCCCTGATTATAATATCGATTTTGTGCAATGCAATCACATAATAGGATGTAGGAACATAATTAATGCCAACTATGTGTGATATTTTAACTTCGGTTTACTTCGAGTTAGTACAGTACTAATTTAAAAGAATTACAGTACTTGTGTGTCTCACTAGATACTACAGATACAGTTAAGTCTGGCTCATATCTTGACTTACATCTAGAAATTGACAATGAGGGTCGGTTGAAAACAAAACTTTACGACAAAAGAGATGATTTCAGGTTCCCAATTGTGAACTTTCCATTTTTATGTAGCAACATTCCAGCAGCGCCTGCATACGTAGTATATATCTCCCAATTGATACGATATTCCCGGGCTTGTATTTCCTATCATGATTTTCTTGATAGAGGATTGCTGCTCACAAGGAAGCTATTAAACCAAGAGTTCCAAATGGTGAAGTTGAAATCATCCCTTCGTAAATTTTACGGACGCCATCACGAGTTGGTTGACCATTATGGAATAGCCGTTTCACAGATGATATCGGATATGTTCCTTATGTCGTAACTACAATACCCTTCCCTTTTCACGAATGTGACTTACCGAATTAGACTATTACCGGATTTGTAATAACATAAGCAACACGACGGGTGCCACATGTGGAGCATGATCTGCTTACCCTTCCGGAGCACCTGAGATCACCCCCAATTTTTGGTGGGGTTCGTGTTGCTTAGACTTTTGTTTTCTATGTTGTGTCATCTGTACTATTATTTGTCTGTTTGTCTTTTTATTTGGCCATGTCGTTGTCAGTTTGTTTTCGATCTATGAGTTTGAATGTCCCTATGGTATCTTTCGTCCCTCTTTTAAGTGTTAACGAGATAATAAAAATAAACACATACGCTATTATTATTCCTAATGGTGTAAAACATGCTTTACAATGTTTAATTGTGTTCACTTAAAACATGTATTATCTTTCGGTCTATAAAAAGATATTAGTTATTCATTACGTCTAAAGAATATTGGGACTCTCCTGAGATCAGAAAAAGTTACACATGTCTCACATTACTTAACCTATAGATGAAGCTGGATTTCTGACAACCCATTTAAAATTCTTCACACAAAAAAACATGTACATATTAATTATGACAAGACATCTTTTAGTTTCTCCCAAAATACAATATTTCCTTGTTCATCGTTGGGATATTCGATGTAAGAATTTTGTTGAACCAGTTCCAGCATTACTAGTGGCAAATCTTGTGGTCGAAGTTGTTCATAGAAGACTAGAAATAAAATGTTCTGACCCCCGCGTGAATAGATACTCTCCATTCTAGCCATATTAAATTCAAACAGACAGTAATATGACTCAATAAATGATCTTGTTATAATACAAATAGTTTTCCTGCTTTCGTGAATAGAGTTTGTAATGTTGTGTGTAATTTCTTCGCCCGGCACAAAGTCACGTTGATGAATGCAAAGTTTTATACCAGTTTTGCCTTCCAAAATAGGAATACAATCTTTAATAATAAATGTTCTTTCGTTATCAGAATAAGATATAAATGCATCGTATTTATAACTTTGTTCATTCACGACCTTATTGTATCGCTTATATTTACTTCTAGTCATATAGTAGATATACCGGAGTCTCCATCGATACCTATATACTAAACCAACCGCCACAACTATAACGGTTGTTATAATTGAAAGAGATATGCCAATTAGAAGTGCAGTATATGAAGAACATCCCTTTTCTAGCAATAATATTGTATTTCTAAATGAAGCTAATGTTAATTCAGTTCCGTTGGAAAATTTGCATATCATTTTTTTCATTCGCCTAAAATATTTTCTTTTGTGAATTATCCACTTAAGAAATGGAAGCGTATCACAACTACATTGCAGAGCGTTTTCTGATATATCTATTTGCATGTCAGATTTATCGAAACATTTGTCCAAACTGTCCATTGTTTTTCTACCAAAGCTTTGAATTCTGTTATTGGACATATCGAGCACTTTGAGCGTATTTAAATTTGACACATTAAATGTGACATCCATTAAAAAATTGTTGCTTAAATTTAATATTTCTAATTTTGCATGTCCATAGAAAACTGTAAACATTAAATAATATAGTTTATTGAAAGATAAGTTTACTTCAGTTAAATTATTGACATCGGAAGCTGAATATCTGTTTGATTTTAGGTATATTCCCAAGTTATTTCTTTCTAGGTTTAGGTATGACAAATTCTGCATAAAATATCTTATCTCTCTTATCTGATTTCCAGAAAAATCTAAATGGTTTAATGTTGAAGGCAGAATATCAGCCCCTGTTGACCCTGTACCGGCTTCAATAACACTATTTTCATTCAGATATATTTCTGTTAACCCGCTTGGACTTAAAGTCACGAAAAATGATGCAGGTAAAAAAGAATATATGTGAAATGTAGCTGTTAATACCAATATATCTATTTTTGCTGTTCCCAGATCTGTAACCATATCCCAATAAAGTTCATTTTTCATCATATAAACAGCATCGAAATTCAAATATTTAAATTTACGTCCACTAAGTGCTCCAACTTCATACGAGGCTAACGTACAGCTTGATAAATCAAATGATTCCAAGTATGGTACATTTTCTAGTGTTCTGTTATTGAAATCCATATAACAAAGCCCTGATTGTACTACACGTAACCGCTTTAATGACAGAAAACCTTTTCCAATTATAAAAGCCCCAGAATTGTCATGAAAAAGGTCAATTATTAACGTTTTTAATGATAAAAGGTCGGACATCACATATTGCGAAAAGCTTGCAAAATTTAATTCTGAAGAATCAACGTTTGTATTTATAATATTCATATATGTCAAAAGTTTCAAAGGTTTGAAGACTCCTTTAGGAAAGGCCTCGAAGTTGAAAGTTAGTTGGTTTGTTCGTAAATTCAATTTTCGCAATTTTGTAAGTCCGATGAATGCGTCCGGTTCTAAAACCTTTATACCACAGAAGTACAAATTCAGTTCTTGTAGATATTGAAGATTACCAAATGATCTATTCTTTATTATTCCTAAAGGATTTAAGCTAAAATCCAGATAGTATGTTTCAGTAGGAAACGTCGGAATTGACCGAATATTTCTAGACGAGCAATTGACATGCAATTTAGAATGTACATCTTTCCAACACAAACAATTATTGTTTAAAACACAGGACTTTCTTCTCAAAACATGTACAACTATCAAGAGAAGTTGAAAGCTTGTGACCTTCATAGTTGACCACAAAACAACAAACCTGTCAAATAATTTGTTTTATATTTTTTTCTCACCTGGAATACTATAAAATTATTTGAATATGTTGATGGCTTTACACGTTGATATGTTGTGTTTAATTTGTATTTACAGACTTTTTTCCAAAATTTTATTGAAAATTGCTGTCATCCTATTGTTTCGCACGTATTCTTTTGAATATACAGTTTTTCGAAATAATGGTTTATTTCAGTTTATTTTCCTCGAATAAGAATATCTTGTATGCAGTGCTGAAAAAATATAAATAGTTATAAATCATAATATTATTACAAAAGATTCATATGGAATCAAAATAGGGTTGACATTTATGCAACATGTTTAAGTTTTAAAGATTTTTATCTTAATCTATTTCCTCCTTATATAATTAACTTATTCTTAATCTTATTTTATCAGGGAATCTGTTAAGAAAGAAAGTCATGTAAGTATTCTCCTTAGTATTAGAGTAATTCGACATTTTATAAACAGAAGATTAAGTAAAACTACCATATCCATGAAATTTGGTGTCAAGTGCTGACTTCTGGGCTTATGATATTCTCGTGGACGAAACACCCATAGAAAGTAGCATCGACCCAGTGGTTAAAAAAAATCATCATAAGTCATTCTTTCTTCCGGTGGTTTCATTTCAAATGCTCGCTAGACTCTCACAAACACTACAAAGTTCAATTAGATTTTATTGTATGATTTCTTGAAACGTGATAGGAGGGTGGTTTTTATATAGTTGCATAACTGGGCGGCAGAGTCTTCAAACAACTGTGACTATCATATCTAGCTATCTGTCATATTGATCACATTGTGACTCTGCTTTCCCAATTAAATGGTACATTTTCTTTAATTCTTTGTAATCCTTCAAGCAGGTTGACTGTGCATGTTTTTTTCATTATCATTGTGGGCGTTACCTTTTCGTCTTATGGTCTATAGCAATTGGGTGGTCGAATGAATAGTGGTTTAACAGAACCACAAGTTGTGCTTGTATAAAGTTTGCCAATCTGGACTGTGTGTTAAGCAGATTTGTTTGATTTTGTTAGCATATGTTTATTGGATAGAAGTTGATTGTTGTTAATTTGTGTGATCTGTTACACTGCCCAATACTTTGTTTATAATTCCTATAATCATTTTATATACTAAAAGAAACAATCTGATGACTAAAGTTATTCTAGTGAAAATACTGATGATCATGTATGATGATTTTATTTTTTTTTGTCGTATATAATTTCCGTAATTTCAGTTTCGAATGCACATTGTCATGTGTTAGCTAAGTGTTTCCCTCCGCCTTTTTGTTACTACTTCCTACTTGGACTTAAATGGAGTTTAAAAAATACCATTCATTACTCTCTGAATAACGACCATTGAAAGATATAAACACGTTCAATAAAAAAGTATGACCATAATACCGAACTTCAATGTCAAAAAGGGGAAGGCAGTCCATAAAAACAGACAAAATCAAACGTTATAAACCAACGGAATAATACCTTTGTAAAAGAGACAAAATTTACAGCCACACCTTCTAATCTTTTTAGTCTGAGGGTATTTTCATAAAGGATCCAATATTTGAAAGTGAATCTATTTACAATTTATATTTGAGATTTGGGATTTGGTCCAAACTATGTTACCGTTATAAATGTTGGTAGTGGGAACCGCAACAATCCTTGAACATTGAAAAAAGTTAAGTTATTTTTTGTAGCATCATCAGGGACGTTGTTTAATTGGAAAAAATCTAAATTGTGGATTATGATTGGCAGCACAAACGTCTAAATGCTTCCTAACATATAATGATTCTACAGCTGCATCGAACTCTAGTGCGATTTTAAACTTCTCCACTCGAGACTCTCCTTTTCAACTTGATAATTATTATTAGTAAAGATGTACCACGCCTTTCGAAGTTATTTGAAGCTTTTCTTTTTTTTTTTCTCCCCCTTTTCGCGCTCTGATCTTTGATTTAAACGAATGTGTCCTATTCCTGATTTTGACATGTCGACAGAGTGTTGATTCAAATGGTAGAATGCATGCATAGTAGGAGACGCTAGTCCTGTCGACGAACCCGGTCTTGCTTGTTTTGGAGTTCGCCATTCGAGTCAACACTCCAATTTTCTTACATACATGTTATGGCGTTTACAATGGGTTGATTAAGGATAGATTGATAATTAAGCCGGTGAATGTGTTTGGCAAAGCAGACAAAGGGAGGCGAATGTCTTCTGCACCGTTGTATTTATTATCATGGAGGTTCGTGTAGCTCTCTTTTGTTTTCTTTTTTCCTCTTATTTTAGAGTTTTTTTCGTGCCATTAATATTCAGGAATGTATCCTCCTCGTGCAAAGCTCTGACTCCTTGTCCGAGCTTGTTTTTTGTTTTTGTTTTTGTTTTACCAACGTCTGTAGAAGGTTTTGAAATTTCCAATATTTTGCCTCAAGCCTCACTGAAGAGATATTTTTTGTCGAAATGTGCATCTGGTGCAATATAATTGGCACCATCAATGGTATTACTACTACTGGATTAATACATCTGCTCTAGTAGACTATTAGGCCACTAGAGTAGGGCCAGCCAAGCTGCCAGTACCTTGGGACTGGCACGACAAAGACGAAAATTGTTTTATCTAAACATGTTAGATTTTATGTTATAAAATTTCGAAATAATGTTGAAATAAGGAATGTATCTCCATTATGCATAGCTCTGATTCCTTGTCCGGGTTTGGGTTTGTTCAGCTTTTAAACGTTATTTTTTGGAATTTCATATATCTTAGCCTAGAACATCACTAAAGAGACATAAGGAGTCGAAATGCGCTTATGGTGCAATAAAATTGGCACCGTAAATATTCAATACTTAAATTTGTGTTTTCTTGGTTGAGGTTTGTTGCGTTTTGATTGTTTTTCAACCTTTTTTATTTTGGCCAATGGCCCCCAAGGGTGACTGGGGTATAGAAGTATGGTCACCATTGGTCTTCCTCCGACCGGCAGTAAAACCCGTGCTAAAGTGGGGCGTCCGTTTGGCTGTGCGGGATGTACAAATTTGCAGCCACGTCCGGTCAGAATGGGGACGTTAAATCCGATGCCTCGTGTAAAAAGAGTGCCACGCTCTTTGCACGTTAAGAACCCTTGCAACAACTCTTTGAGGGGTCCGTAGGTGACCTGTTGCAAGGCTAAATTTCTGTCCCTATCCAATATACCCTCATTTCCCGTGGCAGTCTAAATTTCTCCGACCTTAATCCCTTAATCTATTACAGAACCTACCTATTGTATTTATTGTGAACTTGTTCTCGTCCTGAATATGCATGAAATATTTGCCACTGGACGTTAAGCAACCAACAATCAATCAATCAATCAATCATTTTGGCCAATGTTTTTTATGCTCCTTTGGACTTATGGTTGTTTTTAATCGGTTGTTTTCTTTTCCCCTCTACCTTCTTGTATAGACTAATTTTCATTGTGCGTTATTTACCGTACCGTTTGTGATTCATTTTTTTTCTGATGTGTTATTCGACGTTTGCCTTTCGAACAAAACAATTTGGTCATTTTGGACCCAGTCACTCACCCACTTATATCTTATCGGAGTTGATGAAGAATTTGTTTTGGATATATTTATTCTCGAAATACTGATAATAGTGAACGTAACTCAGAATTTGTATAATTAAATGCTTATTAACAGAAAAAAACTGTTTTTGTAGATTTTGTTTTTAGTGTTATGATGATAGAGCGGTTTATGACATACTGTTAAAATACATGCACCATAGTGTATATGAAATAATTTAATAAATACTTTAAGACTATTGTACTGTCCAGGAGAGCTGATATCCCGAATAGAGGTTGATTTTATTCTATGAATAATTTCTATGTTCGTATGAGTAGACGACCAGACGTATATAATTGAAGAATATTAAACTGTCGGTATTATTTTCATGTGTTGTAATAACGGTAATAACGGTCTTATATTGCAATGAACTCCAAGTCTCCTTTTTTTTGTAGTAGATTGAAATTAATGAATTTACAATACATTTCATTACCTTTTATTTGCAGAAGATCACTTATCTTTTAACTTTTGTTTATTCAAAGCACGAAAGTCGTGAGTGCCAATGTAATATATATAGGTTAAAAGTATGACGTTCTCGATATATTTTTTTAAATAATAATAACGCAATTCCATTTATATACTTACAAACAATAGACTCAGACCATCCGTAACTGATACTAAAAATGTGTGTATATGTATATATATTGCTTTAATATTTTTAAAATGTCGCCGATAAGTTCCGTTATTTCAGTTTTGAAAACAACAATACTATTTGTGAATTGAGTGTTTCCCTTTCCCCTTACTTTTATTTCCTATTTAGATTTAATCGGGTTTTTGAAAATACCATGCAAACTTTATCGCTTGTAACTGCAAAAAAATTAGCAAACAATAAAAATTTTGCTATGTTACCCTCAAATTAACATACATTGTACAACTAATTATTCTGATCTACAGATAAATTGCAAAGGCATATTTTGAAAACATAATATTAAAAAAAATCATTTACCATGCAATCTTCGACGTGTTAACTCATCATAAGTATCGCAAATATCGAATGGATATTAGGACTTCATGACGTCAGAGGAACAGAAGCTACTATCATATTGTTTTCTTTAGAGAAGTGAGCTCTTTGAAAGTAATCAATCGCTTGAAAAAATTAAAAAAATATCGAGGCTGCAGTAACTGTAAATATTCTTTGAAACGGTAATTTTTACATTTTGATTCTTTTCCATTTTTTTTTAATGTTGGTTTTAACAATTTTTGTAATATTAACTTTGCTTTTCCATTGTCTTTATACATGTATGTAATAATCATCCTCCAAAAAAAATGCATCGTGTGAAAACATATAAATTATTTCATATTTACAACATTATTTAAAATACAGACACATGCATCACATTACTCTGAATTTTGGCAAATTGGTTGTTCAGTCTTAAAAATTCATGAAAATGTCAAACTTTATCACAATTCAGTCCATAGTGTCCTTTGCGTTCAGTTGACATCCCTTAAACGTCAATATATGTTTGCCTACCTTTAGCCTGTAACACTGTACGGACCCGTTTGGCATATACTTGATCAATCGACGAATACGGTCTTACCGATTTTTCCCCTATTCTTACTCAATAGCCTGATGCAGTTCTTGCAGAATCTGCGGTGCTGGATGTCGTCTGCGCGCACGATTATAAAGTCATCCAACAAATAATCTATTTGGTTCAAATCTGGTAAAGTGGTCCATGGGCGCGCTTTTCTGATTGGTTAAAAAATCAACAGTAGCACTAGCTGAACAGTAGTTGAATGTTTCTAGAGAAGTTATGGCACCCACATCATTACACTTTTTCCGCCAAATTTGACGTCCTCAATGGCGCAGATCTTTGCGAACCTCTCATTCCAGTGCCGATATTCATTTATACAGTTACATGTGTTTTATACCTTTTATACCCATTATATTCGGTCAAAGATAAGGCATGATTTGCAAGTGCAACTGCTCTAATTAGACCGGTACGCCTACCTCGTTCAGCGTTACATGTGCCATATTGCGTAGTTTGAGTACCTTGCTAATTTGGATTTTGGCCATATTGATTTATCAGGACAACAGCCATTTCAATAGGATTATTCATGCCCCTAACCTAAATAAACAAACATGCCAATGCATAAGTCGCATGAACAATAATATTTATTAGTCGGCACATATTGATGATTTGTACATGTTTTTGCAATTTGTTTGTGTACAAATTGGCTATGTCAACTTACCAAACCTTTATCCTTTTTAGTTTGAAAATCAGACGCTTAATCGTAGTGAAATTGTTATATAAAATAACCTTTATTTGTGAAAGAAAGGCTAGATTTAAAATAAAAATAAATATACAAGAAAGGGTTCATTATTTGGCTGCATACAGGGAAATACGTTGTAGGTTGCCTTTTGCATGGGTTCTTTGAAAAAAAACAAGATAATTTCATCTTTCCTATTTCGTAAATATTCAAATTTGAAACAGTTTTCCTCAGGATTACACAAAATATTTGGAAATATCCGCCAAAGGCACTTTTGGCACGTCAGTTTGATATCTCGGACGAGTAAGACTTGATAATGCACATGTTTTATATGATTTATAATTTTAAATCCTCAACTATTGGAAGTAATTTAATTAAAAGGGCCAGTCACGTGACGCAGATCCAAAGAATAAAGTTCCTAGGATTTTTTTATATGCTAACCCGGATTGATCAAGTGCGCTCACCAACCACTCTCGGGAGATTAAATTAAATTATTTCTAAAGCTATGCCATGTAAAGATTTAATTCAAGACGTAGGTTTGCATTAAAGTTAATGCAAGATTTTTTAATGAATTTACCCCTACTATATTAAAAAAAAGGAAACATAAAATAATCTATAAATATTTCGGATAACAGATATCTTTCATCAGTATGATTATGATGATGGCTAAATGAATTATATCAATCTATTCTCATTTAACCATAACAATCTTGACAGTTATACAATTAAAAACGGAACAACGCTTGTATAATTATAAAATTATAATAAAGACGTAGCTTAAGTATTTACAACAGAGATTCCATGGATATGCTTCTAAAAGAATAGTGATGTGCGACATGAACGGTACAATATTCCATTTTGTAGATGTTTTGAATTTTTTTGTTGGTAAACCCCCAATTTCTTGTATATATATTCCTTCAAAATCAAACCTCTATCTACCAGCTTATTTTTAAGTGTAAAGAGAAGTCAGGTGTTCGTGGTTGGTGTGGTTTGTTGTACTCGCCGATGTGTTGGAGATTTGGTCTATCTGTTTCATTTATTAGTGTACTTATATTCTTCATTTAGGTTATATAGTATTTACTGTTTATCGTTGTAGAGGTAAATTCTTTTAAAAATCTTCCATTGACTTCAATGTTAATCTTGAAATAAATCTATATCTGGTTAGGCTTTGGAAATCAGAAGCTTTTATATATCATTTATTAAAGTACAAATGTAGCCCCATCTGCATTTGCAATGATAAAACAATAGGGTTATGCGGCATTTATTAGCCATTCACATGGCATTGTTTACAAACATTGTAGATTCGCACTAAATTCCTACACAAATCTTATTACTTTTCAACCCTATAGTAAAAACAAAAATTAAATGCATTCAACTTTCATTTTTTTTATTTTTTTAACCCTTGTTTTGATCCATTTATCAAAAAATATGTATTACAAACATTATCCACCAATCAGAAGATCACAGGACTTCAGTGTTATACAGAAAGCTCTCCACCAAATGGGCTGTCCTTCCTTGATAAGTATGTTTTTGATTAGGGGATTTTTTTAAGGGGGGAGGGGAGAGTTCATGTGACAGCATTTATATGCCTTTTTAATATCAATAGGGTTTTATACTACTTCTCAAAGTGTTAAAATATGTCTCTATGTAAAAATATTTTATAACAAAAGTATATTAATAACAGTAACATCTGATTATTGATTTTGAATACTGAAAAAGGACAACACATGTTTATTTATAATTATAGTCGTATCTTAAATAGTTATTATTCAGACTTGTTCATTGTATAAAGACAAGATAATTTATCAGATTTTGAGGCAAATAATTGATTGTAAGTATGATTTCTTCTCAATAACTAATCAAAATTATAATGTGCAATAACTTGAGTGAAACTTCATCATGTTCATATCTATGGTCAGTTTATTCATTATGTTTAAACAAATATTTTGAAATGGCCCCACAATCAAATATAGAAAACATTTATATGCTTCATTTATGATGTTAAAAAGTCCATAATGAAAAGGAAATAACGAAGAAACAAGAATATTCCACAAATCTCAATACATAACACCTATTTGAAATTACTTCTCCAATAATCCCTTGTGACTTTCGAGAATGTTTCGCACTTCCTTCTCCACTATTGACAACGAGTGTGTAACTTTTGTTACAATGCTTTGATGGCTCATAGCAGGGTACTACATGTCATGCAATATCTGATTGGCCGAACTCTAAAACATTACTTAACTCATATTCATCGGTTCTAGCAGCTTTTCTAATCAAAACACTCGACTAAATGCATAAATTTGAAAATAGGACAAAAGAAAAACTAAAAGACCACCAATAAAAAAAATACACATTGAAAAAAACAAACACGAAATAAAACACTTAAAATAACAAGACATCATTCAAAACAAAATTTGGAAGCTCATATGATTCAAATATTCAACTCTTTTAATGATATATTAGGTATGTATTAATTAATCAGCCCAGTTATATGATTTTCTTACTTTGATTCACTTGAATGACTTTTCATAGCGTACTGGAGTTCGCGAGATTGATACCCGGCCGAGTCAAACGAAAGATTTTAAAACAATTTGCTGTTTCTCTGCTAAAGAAGGGGCATTCAGGAGTTGTGCAGACTTAAGACTGGTTGGCTCGGAGTGTGTCCGGGTAGTGTGACATGTCTTCGGACTGTTACCTTATTTCCAGCAGGTTAAAAAACCGGCTGGCCAAATTAGAACTCGAATAAATCAAAGAATATACTGACAACGCAATGGCAAGCGAAAAACGACGAAAAGACGAACAATTCCAAAACAAAATACATAAAAAAAAACTTAACAGTGAGCAACACAAACCCCATTAAAAGTCAGTATTGACCTCATGTACTTTATATGGGTTAGCCGTTCTTGTTCAACATGTGGCACTCTTTGTGTTGGCCATACAAGTACACATCCAGTGATCAGTCTAATTTGGTGATTTCTAAACCGAGGAAAAGATAACAAACTTAAAATTAAGTATTCAAGACACATGATTCGTCTGAAAACGACTCAACAGTGGCCTGAAAATAAAGTTATATACAAAAGTACGCAACGAAGTTAAAGAATAGTAAAAACCAAAATGTCAAAGATACGGCAGCTCTTGCCTCTGAGTTATAGATACCTTTAGAGTTTCAAATGATTTTTACATTGCATTTTAATACAATTAAGACTAGCTGTAAAGCTCATCATAGACATCACGTTTAAAGTTACGCCAGCAATGAATGAAACATATAGGATGCATGATAAACAACATGACCTCAATAAGGCAGTCAGTTTTTATATCTTAATCTGAGGGAGACTAACCTTTTTTAAGTAACAATCAATAATACTTTGAAATGAACATTTTTCCAACGTCTTTCTGCACTGATTAAAATCTAGCGTA